GCCTTCCCGCCCGTGGGCCGGCGGCCGGGCGCCCGCTCCGGGGCCGCGGGCAGCGCGCAGCGGGCAGGGGCGCGAGGGGGCCGGCGAGCGCTGGACTGCGGGCGGCGCGCTCCCCCTCGGCCGGCCCGCGCTGTCGGTGCCAAGCCGGTCCCCGCCCCGGACACAGACAGCTGGGAGGCCGGCCGCGCGGGTGCGTGAGTGAGAGTGCGAGTGTGTGTGCCGGGGGAGGGAGGGGGGCATTTGTTTCATTTTCACTCAGGCAGAAAAAGGCCTGAAACCAGCAAAAAGAGAAAATAAAATCCCTGGTGAGGTTGCTGGGCCTCTTTTGCCTTCTCCGCCCTGCACGTGGTGGTGGTGCTGCTGGTGGCGGCGGTGGAGGAGGGACGGGGCGTTGGAGGGTGGGCTGGGGTCTGTCACCCTGTGCTCCAGGGAGGGGGGCCTCTGTGCCCTGGCACATGGCCAGGCGCTGGGGGGGCCGAGAGCCTGGGAGGTCTGATCCACCCTTTGTTTCCCAGGAAGGAAGAGCAAAAATGTCGACAGCGACAGACCAGCAGGCTCTGGCTGGAGGCCCCCAGGTCGAGCTCCGGAAGGGAGGGGCTGGCCAGCAGGCACCCAGCACAGGGCCTGCCTGGGGTTTGTTCACTGACTTAGTGATCTCTGAGCGCAGAGTTTCACAAATGGGCCTACACAGCCCTCGGCTGTGCAGTAACTCTCTACTAGAATTAATTAGAGGGGAACCCCGAAATTTCTACTTCAGTGTTTGCACTTAACGTGCCTATTGTGACAGCGATTCACTTCTGATGAGCTGCACCTCGGGCGGCCCTGCGTTTTGTTCTTCTTCGGTTGTTTCTTACGAGGCTCATCTCATTCCCACCCTCTGGCTCGTAAGTATCTACTTCAGGGTGTAAAAGTCAAAACTTCCTTTTGCCAAGATCATTTGCCATCGAGTGTCATTTTCATAGACTAAGAAATTAGCTTCTTAAATAATTGAATATATTGGAACTGTCATTTGACATCCTGAAAATGGCACGGAGCACAGACATGATGTATAATTTTAATTGTCTCATGCTAATAAGAAAGAAACAGTGGCCTGATTTAATACTGGAAGGACTTGCACGGCCTACAGGTGAGCCAGGCGACATCATGGAATGTGGGAGAATGGAGTTTCCCTGTGGGTTCACGGGAGTAAAGTGGTGGGAGAAGCGAATCGCCAGCCCCACACTCAGGAATGAGACTCTCCACCGCAGCCAGCACAATGGGCCCTTTGCTAGAGGATAAATTGGGCCATTATCGTGTTCTGTGAACACACTTGCAATAGCTCATTAGTGGTGAGCACCACAGCAAATATGCAGTGAGTGATGTTATACCAAATGCATTATTTCCCACTTTTCTTTATTGCATGAAGAGAATGGGAATGCATTGTTTAAATTGCTCAGCCCATCAAACTGTATTATACATTCTTTTTCTTTTTTTAAGAAAAGGGTGATAGTGAATATGATGGTGGCTCAAATGATGACCCATCATGACCAAAACCAAAAGATGACTTACCTCTGTAAAGACCCTGTAAGGGGCTGGGCGCGGTGGCTCACGCCTGTAATCCCAGCACTCTGGGAGGCCGAGGCGGGCGGATTGTTTGAGCTCAGGAGTTCTAGACCAGCCTGAGCAAGAACGAGACCCCGTCTCTACTAAAAATAGAAAGAAATTGGCCAAACAACTAAAAATATATAGAAAAAA